GATTCCAGGAAGCCGGGGGCAGAGCAACTCTGCCTAGGGCTTCCTGTAGTCAGCCGCTGATCAGTTTCAGCAGCGGCTGAATCACGAGCCAGTTCCGACTTACATACAAATTCAACTTAAGAACAAACCTATAGTCCCTATCTTGAACATAACCTGGGGACTGCCTGTATATATGATGAGCCAGCCAAGCAGAGGTGAGGACAAAAGTTATGTATTTTTTATCTGCAAAACTGTGGCCAAAATTGTGGCCTGGCCTGTGCTAGATTTTTTTTTTTCTAAAATGTCCTAGGCCACAGTATAACCACTAAATCACCTCGTCAATGTAATATTCATATTAGTCCCAATGAAATATTCCTAAACCCAGTCTCTTTTTCACAGTAGAAATGCAAAACTTGGATATTAGCCAGCCTGTGCTAGTTTACAAAGGCAAACAAATTAAATGAAAAACACATTCACCGGTGACTCTTCCAAAACTTAGCCCCTGTCTACACTGTACCTATAAATAAATAAGTCCATTACAACATGGACAGTCCAAGTCTCTAGTCCAATTTGATCTCATCTGTTAAACACATTTTAAGTATGTTGTAACCAGGCCCCATGACTCATTCTTACAGTGTGCACATCAGCACCAGCCAGAAAGTGGTTAAGATAGACACCCTAGAGTCATACAGATTATACTCTTTACATCCGTCTACAGCTCTTGCCATCCAGCTTGCCAAGAATAAAGCAACAGCTCCATTAAATCCATAAAACAGTGGCCTAGGTAATGCTGTGTGGCTACTTTACACTACTTGTCCAGCTCAAAACAGCCTTAAAGCTAGAGTAGCCAGCAATGGGAGGATAGCCTCGATTTGGAGGATCCTCTGATGAGGTAGAGCTGGGTGGAATATCGCTCCAACGCTACCCCTTCACCACTTGTTGAAGGATAGAAAGGAAGATGCAGGGCTGTAGGTAGAACTCAACTCAAGCAAACAGCTGGAAAAACCACTAGCAGAAGAAAATGTACAGTCCTGAAATGACAAGTGTGAACAGTGGGAAGCCAGGTGCATTTGTACCTATATACCCCTTAACCATGCTGGCAAATGGAGCAGGCATTTTTTCTCTCAGACTATGCTTACAGAACATGCTTGAGAGGGAATGCTGATTGGGATGTAGGAACATGTCCTTGTACTGTTTTGTTTTAGAAACATTCTGTTTAATCTTGAACTTGACATGGAAACTCCCCAAAGACAAGTAGGGATGGTTATGGAGTATCATTGGAGTTCTAATAAAGATACAAGACTCTTTTACAAATCCTGTACTCTCCTTGCATTTACAGGTAATATAATCTTCACACTAACACACTCTTGCATACCTCTCTTTTTCCAGCTGAAAGATATATAATAAAAATGAGTGAAAGTCTTTTGGACCTGAGGAACACCTTTGATAATGCTACTTCTGTGAATACCTCTAGTGTGATACCTAGCCCTGCTGGCACCAAAGAATCATTTTCATTTAAACCAAAAAATGTCACGATAGAAAATGGAACCATAATCTACTTTGCAGTACGTGCCATTGATAATGCCTCCCTGACCTCAGAAGTGTCTAATATAGCACAAGCAGCTCTGTTTATTCCTCCAAAGGAATCCTCAGCTGATAATTCTTCTAATCATGTTATCAGTGAAGGTATTAATGTTTTAACAATAGTGTTAATAGTAGCCGGGTCGGTAATAGCTGTATCAATAGTTGTAAGTATAACTGTTTGTATTGTATGTAAGAAAAATAGAAGATGAGACCCTGAGTTCAGAATGCATTTAAACTGATTGTGAGATGAAAGCTCTGTAAGAATCTATCCTGATTTGTTCCCTTTGTGATTTTTTTTAAATACACGAGGGGAAAATTGAAATAATTTTGTGATAATACATTTGAAAATTAAGTGAATTTGCTTTCAAATTCATGTACATTTCTATTCTGCTTTCAATGAGTTTGCCAAGTTACAGTGCAGGTATTTGTACTAGGGATGTAAGATTGGAAAAAAAACGCACTAACCATGTAACCTATTGAAATTCAGTTGGTTACACAGCTAAACACTCAGAAGCATTGCAGGCTTCTGGGAGCTGCTGGTGCTGCCAGCCCCTTGGGATCCTGGCAGTGGCTCAGAATTTAACTGGTAATGTGAATTGATAAACTGTTGTTTATCAGTTAGCTGGTTAATCAGTTAATCCCTCGCGTCCCTAACTTGTGCATAGACTAAATACTTAATTTAAAAGCATGTTCTCAGAGTAAGGCACATGTGCTATGTAGCATATCAATGACAATCTCGATTCTAATTTAATTCTGATCTTCCAAGATTTTTGCAACATTAGGTTTTCTGTGCTTTGTTTTTAAAAAGTAGCAAAAACTGTATCTTTCTAGTTTTTGTTATCCAGTTGCTTAGCTATCAGGAATGGTGATTTAACAAGAACTTACATATAGCTGTAATCATGCAAATGTTTTCATACATGCACAATTCTATGCATGTGAGGGGAGTTATGCAAGTGTTAATTATTGTCAGGATCAGGGTTGAACAGTATCTACAAATAAGCAAATGGAAAACACTTTCTTCCTGATATTCTTACCAATCACATAGGCAACATTCCAAGTCTAAACTGTTATATGAAAGAATAACAGCAAAGTAATAGAAGAGAATACATGCCAAACAGGAATACTCCCTATCAAGGCATATAACAGGAGCAACTGCATGCAACATTAAGGGGAGGAAGCTATTCAGCATATGGCCGGAAGAAGAAGGGTTTGAGCAAGAAATTTACATCTCACTAATGGAAGTGGAGATTCCCATGTAAACAGACCAGCTGGGGTTCAGGTGAAGCTAAAGATGATTTTCAAATAGCAGGAAAAGAAATAAAAATGAGTAATAGAGGCCCTAAATCATGTCTTTCTTCTCTTCTCTGCTCATGGGATCAACAACATTTGAAAGAGAAGAGCAGTATCATTGAACTGGGAGGAGTGTCCCTGGCTGAAAGAATCCAGATATATGCTTTGTAGCAGTCTGGTCGGAGGAGACCTTTTGCTTTAAATTCACTGTTTCTTAAATTTGGTATTAGTTTGTGTTTTATCTTTTATTTATTTGTGGCCAATTCTGACTTTTCTGCCTTGGTACTTGAAATTAAATGTATATTTCTGGGGTTAATCGGCATGTTTTATATAGACCAGTGTGTGTTTGGACTGAAGTATTTGAGAAACTTAATTTGAGATAATAGGGTTTGTGCATATCATTTTCTATTTGTGAAATGATGGACTTTCTATAATCTTGTGCAGTTGAGAAGGAAAGAGCTGGGTAGTACAAGATGCACATTTCTGATACAGGTCTGGGACTGGGAATTTACTGCTGTCACACTGCAGTACAATTCAGGAGCAGCTGGGTAAAAGACACACCAGTTGGAGAATTGAAGGGACACAGCTACCCAGCTCTCCAGATTACACCCTGGGGAATGTTACAGTACAGTATGCGGTTTCTTGCTGCTGCCACTGAAGTATAGTTGGCAGTACACACATACTGGCTAACTGACAGCTCAATCATTGGGGCAATATGGGGGAACAAACACTAGGGGAATGTCTGTGCTAGCTTTTACAAACATGTCAACTGCAAATCATTAGTAAAAACAAGCCCTGTTTGAGAGAACTACCTTTGCTCACATAGACAATGCCTCTGAGCAAGTAGTGCAATTTCTGTTTACTAGCTGTTTTTTGTACATGAAGTGGAAGTCAGCAATTGAACTGAACTCTTCAGTTGCTCTTCTACATGTAAAGGCAATATGACTCCCCACTTCCATTTTCTCTGCTGCATATTGGGGATATTATTCACTTCTTGTAGATATAGGTGTCTACAGCACAATTTGGTGATTAGTAAGTACAATATCTGTGTAGTAAACAGAAGGTTTGGCAGTATAATTTGTTATGCATAAAAAGCAATAAAACGGTACAGACTATGGCAACTGAGGATTGTCTATGCGGACATCCTGAGGCAGCATGTGGAGGCCGTGCAGGAGCTCAACTCCATCCTGAGAGAGAGGGCGGAGGCAGAGGATCGGTGGCGTGACCGGCTGATGGAGGAGCTGGTCCAGCAGCGCACATCCCTGACTGCCACTCTTAGGGAGGTCTGCGGCTTGCCTGCTCCTGTGCCTGGTCCTGTTCCTCCAGCACCCCATGACCCCGCCCCACCAAACCCCCCTTCCACAACAGCATCCCTTTCCCCCCTTGGACCTCCCTCTCCCCCAGCCCCCCCAGTTCCCCAGCCCCTCTCTCCCCCTGGCCCTCCTCTCCCCCACGCTTCCACGTCCCAAGAGTCCCCCAGCCAGCCAACCGACAGATGCACCACCCGCACCACCAGCCGTGGAGC